CACATTATTAGTTTTCTTTATTATGACACATCTGCATCTTAAATTTCCGAAGAAATAGTACAATGCTATACATCAAAGCATAGCAAATTTATAACCTCTTAAATGTAACCTCAGGAAATTATTACTAGAACTTCTTGCCAAACATCTGAGTGCTGACAGACTGCCCTTCCAAGTTTTCATCTGAAGTTTGAAACCCAATGGTTAAAGTCTAGAATTGCACTTCTGATGTTACAAAATACTAACAACTGCATCAAGCATGAAAGGCAATGGAATTGCCAGGATCACAGAGCTCATGGTAAATATTTCTTTTAGTCGAAGGTTGATTGTTGGAAAGAATAAAAAAAAAAAAAATCAAAAAACTAGATAAAAGGAATCATGTATCAAGAGCTTCACCAAAACCATTTAGTGGATTCATCCCACTTAACTTTAGCACTTAACAGAGAACTGCATTTCAGTGCCTTTAAGTTATAGATGCCCGTTATATGCAGAAAAGGATAACATTTGGATGCAGATAAAGGATGGCACAGAAGCTGGTGTTCTATACAGCTTTGGACACAAAATGCCCTCTTTATCACAGGTAAGTAATATTGACATATAAATATTTTTACTTGTCTTTTTTCTTTGCTGGACTCTTTCCAAAGATCATTCAAATTGGTAACTTAGACACTTTTGTAGGGGTTTTTTTGCCAGATTAGGTTTCTGCTTAGCAATTTGAATGGTCCTACTGCAGCATTAGTAGTGTGTCAGAACTGGGAGGAGGGAGGAAGAGAATAAGGAACAAAGTGGTAAGGCAGTGTTACAGCTATTGGGTCAACTCAGGAAAGATGTGTAATTTTATCTGCATTTATACTTTGAAGAAACAACTTTCTTACTCATTCTTCCCTGACTATACAAAGACACGTGGGCAGTAAGTTCCAAAGATAGGGACAGATCATGCAGTTAATTAGTTAGTGGGAAGAATTAAAACTACAAGCTGGGGTTGGCTTATTCGAGTTAAGAGTGTCGACAGTGTAAAGTTCAGCTGATTAAAATGAGAACACAGACTACAAATAATAATGCCTAAAAAAATTAATCTGGAGATCTGAAATATTCCTTTTTAAAAAACCTCCACACTATTTACTGGAAGATTATTAATGGGAGACCCCATTGTTCTGCCAAACAATGTTTCATGCTTTTCTGATGGATCTGGAGAAACAACTAAATAATACCTTGACAAAACATATAAAATATCCTATTCCAAAATCAACTGAAAAATCTGGCTGCATTAACTTGCTGTCTTGCACTAAAGGGTATACAAATGGCATCAGAATACTGTGCACCCCAGACCCTTGTCAAAGAGACAAGGGGCACTGGGAAGGCTTTATTATGAACCTTCAGCATGATCTCAGCATCATCCTAGACACTGATCATTCACGTTAATGCCACTGAACTTCCTCTAACAGGAAAGTTTGCATTTAACCACATGAAGAACACTAGAAATTCTACCTTAGCAGCTGATTCTCAGTGATCTAAATGAAAAACTAGATTAAAAGGTTTTCCACATTCATTTACTAATTAATTCAGACAAAAAAGGAAGCAGCTGGCCAAAAAACAATTCAGAATTTGGTTCTGAAAAAAATCCCAACATTCTTTTTTCTCTTTTATAGGTGGACAGAAGCTTTAAAGGCTTTGCATAATCAAATAACCAATTTTCACTTTGATTTCCCACAGCAGAATATAAGATTCATCAATAAATTAGATGTCTATATAATTTGAAATAATGAACTATTTTATGAAATTAACATTTAGTGTAATTTTTTCCTGTAATAAAAGAGCTCATGTAAGAATGCTACAGAAATTCTTCCGAGATTCAAAGCAGAACTTTCAGCTTTCTTCTTCTAAAATTAAAAACTGTGAAAAGAGAAGATTAATCATGAATATAAATTCTTTATTAAAAAAGTGTATAAAATGCCGTAGTTGTCTCCAAAGCAGCATTATGAATGTAGCTGATATCACAAAGAGATATTAAAAAAAATAAAAATCTTCCAACTCCTCAAACTCTAACATTCCATTAAAAAGAGTTAATACAGTCTGAGACCACACAGGCTGGAATACTTTAAGTCAAAACTGTACACCTATTGAAACACTTCGCTGGAAGCCAGCATTAACATTGCTTTGGCAGTTTGCTTGTATTTTCAGCACTTACTTTTAACATACCTAAACTTCATTTTATCTTAACTATGAAGATCTTTGGTTTATCTATTCAAGAATTCTAATGTTTCTACTTGCAAACATGAGAGCAACAGGGTAATTGCTAACAAGACATGACTGTTTAGTACGTGCAATGACTGAACAAGGCTGATAGTAACCCTGTTACATGATAGCATGTACCAAACACATAAACCCATAATTCATCTTTGTTTTTTCAAATTGTATGAATCTGTATTTACAGGTTGCATGTCGGTTTTATTTAAAATCACAAACTGTTTAAATGCAGTTAACTCTTTACTAACCCAAAGTGAGAAAATTTGTATTCTTTATTTCTGTCAGCAAGGATAACTACTGAAAAACATGTTACTGCCTATTTAAATATTTCATTAAGATGGCAAAGAAGTGTAGTCAAAGACTAACTTGCTATCCTGTACAAAGATTTCAATACATGAGATAATTGCATTTTAGAGAAATTCAGAAAGTGTAAAACTACTGGAAGAAGTTTGCATTTGAAATAAGAAATAAAAGGCTGCATTAAGAATAAACAGAAGTGACAAAAGTTAAACTGACACAAAACCACAAAAGCTACCTGTTCTTTTCAAACATTTTCCTGAAACAATTTTAGCTTATATTTTGTTTCTCAGGAGATTTTTTTGTGCCTTGTACTGGCACATTTCATAGTTTTCTTCCCTCAAACATGTAACTTCTAATACTTCATTTTTAGTATTTGTATCTTTTCTGCAGAGGTATCTTTAAAAAACATTATCACTGTTTGACAAAAACAGTATGACTAATATGCCCTATTTTTTACAGATGTAAAAAGAAATTTGAGAAAACAGTACTAATTTTGGAAATATTTGCTCAATTTCTTAACATTCAACAAATGAGGAACATCGAAGAAGTCTGTTTCAGACTCAAGTATTTGCTTTTCTTTTTCAGTCGAGTCTTCCTCTGTCAGCCTTCCTTGATAGTTTGACACAGTTTAAAATTTTAAATGGTTAAATGACACAAAGAAGCAAACTAATGCATATCAGGAATAGTTTATGGGGGTACTACAGGGGCTAATGTAGTTTGGATGTGAACAATGTTGCATAGCTTTAAGTTAAAAATGTTATAGTTTTCTTAGAAATCATGCCAAAATTTTTCTTTTATCACTTTCTACTGTTTTTAATCAGCTGCAATGCATGCTCATTGATATGACACTACTAAAACTAGGCACTCAAGGTATGACTGCTTTGTGAGCATAACTAGTTGGCAGCACCCCTGGTTGGGAAAGAAAGAGTAGGGATAGGAAATTTTGAAAATTAATTTGAAATTAGGCCAAGGGCCTATCATATTGGAAAAAAACACTACATGTCCATACAAACACGTCATGTTTCCTCAGAGTATTTTTCATATCATTAATGTAAGAGTATGATAAAGCATGAATATAATGCTAAGGTTTATAAACTATCTATAAATGTTTAAATCTGATTGGTTTGGAACTCAACAAACAGAATTAGTAGTTTTCATTTAAGTTGGGACTCACTTGGACTCAGCTGTCAGTGAAGCTGTTTTGTTTCGATTCTAACAAAAAGGAGTTTTTTAAGTGCTTGGGAGAGACAAAACTAATTTGGACCAATTAATGACATGGATTTTGATTTACTGATCTAAGAAGGGAATGTGAAGAATAGCATGAACAGGAGAAATGGGAAAACAATTTTGGAGGTGGAATGAGACTTCAGGAGGTGGATAGTCAGTTTTCCATGAAAATAATGTATTAAAATGAGTGATAATCCAATCTCTGACAGGATAATTTAGGGGACTTGTAGCTTCCTTGAAAGGAATCTATCCATCTTTTCTCTTACCAGTAAGAGAATAGAAAGATGTTGTCAGAGAACTATTGATACACCTCTACAATCACCTTCTGAACAGGTAAGTGGGTAGCTAGGTCCCATCACTCTAGCTATAATTTGCTCTGTTTTTCCTCATATTTGTAATTCCTGATTTGCCAATGTTGTATTTTCTCTGCAAATCCTTGCCAAAGCATTCAGCAGTTCTGGGAGAAGTTGCTTAGGTCAGATTTTGGTTTTCTATCTTCAATACTTTTCAGCTACAGAAAATTCTGTGATATTAATTCCCATTCTCAGACTCTTGCAGTAAACTTCATTTATTTTCATCTTTTGTTTCAGACCTTTAATCTGCAGATTTTCTCTCATATGCCATGACATATAAGTCTCTGAAAACTGTTTAGATAAAAATCTTGGCAAGAGCCTTCGGAGTTCCCTAAATGGCACAATTTTGCATACTTTGAGATTTGAGAGTGTATTCCAGTCCAGTAACACCCTGACTCTTGCTCGGATGAAACTCAGGTAAATACAAAAAAGTACCCGACTCTTCTCGGAAACCTATGTAACTATGATCTTGTTTCCTCTCCCTAACCTCTATTTTGGAGTTGAAAAGGAATTCAAAAGAGTGTATGGGAAATAAATAGAACAATGCTTTGGTCCAATGTTTGGCTGCAAGGACTGGGGAGCACAGAGAGATCCTGAGGCATACTGTGGCACATGCAGACCTTACAGATTCCATATATATCAATTTCATTGTCTTTATCTAGATTCTTCTTAAATGCTTGCAATTGCCAAACACCATTCAAGGCAAAAGAAAAGAAAGAACAGAGACAATAAATCATCAGAGAGAATTTAACAACTGAGAGTACAACTGAAACCCCAACAAATCAAACCAAAGTAAACAATTTTTTTTCTCCATGGTTTAAGGGCCAGTAGCAAAAAAGTGCAATTATGGTAGTACTGCTAAAAGAGGAAGATTACCTCACGGTCATTTAGAAGTCTCTCCAAATCTGCTGTCATTTGATTCTTGACACGCAGTAAAGCTGTCTTTTCTTTATTTAAAAGACTGGTAAAAGAGGATAGGAAATGCAGTAATAGCAACAGATAATCTCTTCTAATCTTGTGTTCTGGATGAAACATGCATTTTCTAAAGCTAAATACTAGCAACAATAAAAATCTGCTCAAGTAATTGTATCAAATGATCCTTCTCTATATTCAAGCACTGAAATTTTTATAAATGGGCCCAAATGTACTGATACACACATCTTATTTTAGTCAAACAGAAAAACTATTCAAAGCCTTCATAAAAATACTTTTCTTTGGTTTTTTTTCCTCTAAAGGGTAATTTGAATGATCAGAATCTTCTACTATAATTTACTGGTTTCTTCTAGGCAAAATTAGATTATTTTATAAGCAAAGTAAGCCTCCTTATACCTACACTTCTGTATCAAATGTGGATTTCTTTGTTGTATTAGTCACTAGCAGTAGCACACTGTATGAACTCTTTTTATACTACTGTATTTAGAATTCTGAAAATAGCAAATACAAGGAAGAAAAATATCCAGCTCCTCCCCCTTTAGCTGTGTAGTTTCTGCAAAAACTGTAAAGGTATTTTTGTTATTTTATATTTTTTTATTCCAGGATAATGCATGGGATCAAGTCTGTCCTATGAACCAAGTATGAAAACTGAATTAGCATGAAGATGTGACTTTATAGCAGAATGTAAAGTTTAACTCGAATCATTCTTTATCTTCATAGTTATAGAACATGAACATTTGAAATGTTTACCATACACATTGTGGTTCCAGGCAGCAGTTCTATAATAATTAAATGTATCTTCCTATTTAGACACAGCATCAGTTTCTAACATTAAATTTTAGACTAATGCATGCATAATACCAGTATATAATCTATTTTGTTAAAACAGCCACAGAGATTTTCTTGGAAGACATGTTATATATGCCATTAGCATGACTTAACTAAATAGGTTGTGCAATATAAACTGTAACATAAATGAACAACTATGAAAAATGCAATTCTGCATATGGAATGCAAATATGTAATACCACAAACGGGTCAGGAGTTCAAAAGCAAATATATTAAAATTTTATAAATGGAGCAATTACATATGTTTCAAACAACATTTATATAATATGTCCAATATTTGATCCAGAAATGATCAACAAAATAAATCAATCTTTAATTGGCCGTGTATCATCCGCTTGTTTCAAATAAGCAACATCATCCTTTGCCCCAGAGATTTTCTGGCAGTTCCTTACAAGCTCTGTATTGTAAATTATGACTGTCAATTCCTTCTAGCCATTCATTTTCAGAAAAAAAATGTATCCTTCTGCCAAATTGCTCAGTTGTTTCAACTATTTAAAAGAAAAGGAATAACATTTAAAAAAACTATAAAAATATTTTAAGATTTTCAAGAGTTTTATATTCTGTCACATTTTTCATCATGATGAAATTGATGTATCTTCTTTTTCTTGGGTTCATGTGTTGTAACTTGCATGTCACTTTTTCTTAGATTTCTGTATTTCCTAAAAACATAAACTAATCCTTCTAGAGGCTCACAAACTTATTAGAGAAGCAATAATACAAGTTTCTTTATGACTTAAGTAGTGTACTGAATAAGCATAAGCATCAGTGTTCATGACTGAACCAGAAGTTCATGTTTGAGGTTCAGTTTCATCTACATAACAGAACCTATTCTACTTATACTCCTTATACCTTTATGACATGAGTGATCTAGGTAGAGCATTTCTAATTTTCTTTGTTTATAGTCAAATATAGGACACAGATTACTACATCAGTAGTAATTCAGTAGCACTTGGTGTGTTTTCTGTCATACACATTGCTATAGAATTAGCAAAGCATGTGCAGACTTTAGATTTCGTAGTTTTGCAATACTTATCATTTTTCATCACTGCAGACAGAAGGGAATAATTAATGTACTCATGAAAGAATACTGCAAGAGGCATATACACATTAAACAGTGAGAAAGCACTTACCAGACAGAATGATAATATATAACAAGGTTAAACAGAAATACCTTCTAAAGTTCCATCTTGGGAAGAAGACTGACCATTTCAGTCTCTGGTTTTAAAATGTTCTGAACCAGCATCTTGGATAGCAGCCAAGAGGTTCTAACTTTAACCTACCTTAAACTCCCATTGAAGAGTAGTTTAACCTAGTCCAGGTTTAACTGGCAGTGTGACAAACCAGAGAGGAGCTTTATAATTTGTTTTAGCTGACCAAGTGAGAACTGTTGAAGGATCATCCTTCCCTCACCACATCCTGGTAACCTACTCTTTCTGTTGGTACTAGAAAATTTGTCACCTTATAAGAAGGTCCCTTCACTGATCTGGATGGACACTGGAGTCTTTTTAAAGGTTATCTTACACATGGATCACCAAAATAACTTGATTTACCGTGTACTGCGGAGACCTACAACTGAAGGAAAGGATGAGCTGCTCCATTTGGTGATGGAGTGCCTCAAGTGCCTTGCTATGATTCTGAAACCACCATCTATGAGTCTAGGCAAACCAGTTTCACACTGGAGCTTAAAGGTTGTAACTTTCATCTAAAAAGATGAAACCATGATGTGCTCCACAGTCCTGGTCACAGATGGCCTCACCCTGAATGTGGAGAAGGTGCCCATTGTGAGATGTCATAAAACTGTGGCCTCAAAAGTCCAGGTTAGAGAGTTAACTGAAAGGCAGTGCAGGTCCTGCTTTTTCTGTGTGCTTTTCCAGAAGAAACCAAATTGTCTGGGAGGATATCCAGTTTCATTCCATCATGCTTTTAAAGCCTAGCCAGGTATGAATCCAGGTACCAGGAATGCAGGCTTACCATAAAATATTGTCATATGGACGCACATTGCTCATAGCAACCACTGGCTTGTTTTGTCTTGCTTCACTCAGGATCTAAAGCCAAGGTAGCTTGGATATTGTATGTAAGACATTTTTAGGTAACATGAATTTTCTGGAGAATGGATACTAACATTTCCAAAGTTTCAGCCTTATAAACTCTTTTCCATTTAGGCAAATAAACCATTTTAATGCATAAGTGTAAATATACTAGTTACTATCCTGTTCAGAAGCTTCTATAATTAGATATTCTGAATAATATATTTATGCTAGACACACAAAATAAACATGGCTTTATATAGGACTGGATTTTATTATTACTTCTATTCAGCTTAAAAAAAAGTATGTTTCTTTTTCAGTGAACTGTGTACTCCAGATGCTGTAAGAAAATGGATTGTGCCTTTCTGTTAATTTGCCCTTAGAGCATGAAGTTAAATAGTCCAATGTTGAAATTTTTTTTGCATTTTATATTCAGAAACAGTATTACCATTGAAAAAACAAAATACAAATAGTATATATAAAGGTTTTGTATATATAACTGAATATATAATATAGCTATATAGTGAAGCTATCCCTTGTCTGCAAATTACAGATGAATAGCTCAAAGTAGGCAGTTAATTAGTCTAGGTCAAATTCTGTTCTTAAGTGACATAGTTTGAAAGGAAGGTATAAGATGTTTTGCAAACAAAAGTTCCTTAAAAGAGAGAATACATGACAAATCAGTGATCTCTCATTGTGCAGCTAAATAACCACAGCTCAGATTTTTAAACAGATTTAGAGAATATTATTGCTTAATGATTTTAATTAGAATGTTTCATAAGGTTTAAAAACCTACCAATGAAGTATCCAAATTAAAATAACTTTTTCAAACTGTGAAAAAAAACCCAAACAACTTTTTAAAGTTGCATTACAGGTCAAAAAAATGTATAAAAAGGACACATTTCTATATATTTTGCTTGGAGCATTTCTCTGGTAAGCTGCACTACTATTGGAATAAAGGTGAATATTTTACAGAATGGTAATGTTCTCATAAAAAGCTCATTGCCCATTCTTTGGGCAATAGGAAAAACTCATCTAACACTCTATGCCGAGCTTTATGTTTGGATGGCAATTAGAGAACCCAAAATGTTTAGGTAAGGAACATTTCAGTACAAAGCTTCTTAGTGAGCAAAATCCTTATATGGCTTCTGGATTTGCCACATAGTTAAGGCTTTTGAGTAATGCTTTTGGTAAGTGAACCTCTTTTAAAACCAGCCATTGGTCCTGAGAAATTTGAGTAACTGCATTTAAAATAAATACCTTCTCTTTATGAATGAAGTCCTTTTAACATCTCCAGTTATTTATAAACCTAGATGTTTTTAGCAGAAAATTATGTACTAAAACTACAATTACTTCACTACACACATGAGAATGAAACTCTAGAGATTTGTTTTCCCACAGGATGACATAGTTACAAGCATTTCTTTTCAAAAAGATGCTAAATGTGATGTTTTCATTTCTGGCTAAAGAACTGTATGCTAGAGAGATTTCTTTATAGCAGCAGCAAGGAGTCATCCTCACACTCAGCACTGCTCTTATTAACCATCACTATTTACTTTTATTAACGAGAGTGCTATGTGGTCTAATATAAATAAGAAGTTACTTAACGGAGTATTTTGAGATATGCAGACCACATATAAATTCATCCTGCAGATGCCCTGTCACTCAATACCAAGGTTTTGTATCCGAAACATATCTGCAGGTGCATGGCTCAGTTCGGAAGCATATGAAGTGTTCTGCTCCCAGAGCCAAGTCCTGTTTGAGGCCAAGTGACATCACAGCCTATGGCCTGCCTGAGGGAATCCTAAAGGGATAGGAATGAGAGTGGGAGTGAACATCATATGTGAGCAACACATGACAGAGCCTCCATTACTCCTAAACAACCTCTCCTTCTCTTTGAGTGGTAATAAGCTTGTGCCTTCACACTCGAACCTCAGCAGTGGTATCAGCACACCTTTAATAACCTGGTGGTGGGACCCTAAGTTGTTCATGCAAATCACAGCCCAGCTGAGCATTTACCCCAACCACAGCAGCTCTTGCAGCTCCTATGAAGGTACGGCTAAAGACACACAGAGCTGTGTGAAAGATGTCCAGAACAGACACACTTCTCAGCAAACTAACAAAGTAACTCCAGCTCTGCTGGATATACTACTTTAAGACTTTTATTCTGTCTGCTAAGTATTCTGTTTCTCTCCTTTCAGTGAGAAGTTGAATAGGGCTTTGAGCAACCTGATCTAGTGGAAGATGTTCTACCTCCCATGGCAGGGAGGTAGAACTGGGTGATCTTTAAAGGTTCCTTACAATCCTAACCACTCTATGATTCAGTCTGACAGCTACTGACACAGGCAACCTTGAGCACCACTTGAACAGTCCTTCCAAGCGAGGAAGACATTTTGATATGAAGGCTCTGAAAGACAGCCTTAGCTCTATAGGGACACTTAAGGGATGAAGGCCGATAAGCTGCTCTAGTTAAACTTAACTTTTGAAAACCATGCTGGAAAGAGACTTAGACGAGTCTGCAGGACATGTCAAAAATATTATATCAAAGTGATCTGCCTGAATCTTTCCCATTCCTCTTGCAGAAATAGCTGCTGTCAGAAATGACACTTTAAGAGAATTAAGAGTGTGGAGAATCCCGAACACATCTGTTGACTGTTAAGGGACCATTATGTAAGTGAACTTAAACCATTTTGTGAAAAATTGATGAAGATATGGCCCAAGAACATCCAAAATGAGATTTCTGTCATAGATAGCCTTCCTTGTGCTTGTCTTCCACTTGTGCTGATTCACAGCAGAAAACAGTCTGTTTCATCACAGAATCAAATGCACATCCAGTACAATCAACAAATTTCTCAATAGAAATGGAAATACAAAGTGCTGCAGGTTGCTGCAAAACATTTATAGGTTGTAAGAAAGTACTGATTCATCATCTTGGGAAATTAGCTGGAACCAAATCGCCCCAGGAGTATGTTCTAAAAAGACTATTGGCCACGATCACTGCCAATACAGAAGGCAATTACGGATTAAGACTATAAAAGTAAATTCACTTGCAAATAAGTCCTTGCTGATCCCTCCACACGCAAGTTAAGTGGGAAGTGATAGAGAACACTGGCATCGATAACAGAGATGTGCCTGTTCTGCTTGAGGAATCCAGGATTTACATAATGCAGAACCATCCCTCTTGATGAGCAGATAAGAACACGAAAGAACAACCCTCCACCACTGAATCTGCACACTAAACAAGAAGGAAGGAAAATTATGATCAAGCATGGACTAGCTGTAAGCATAAATTAAATATTCAGTCTTGATTCTCAGGGTGCAGGCTTATCAATACTACATTAATTTGTCTCCAATCTGGTACTCAAATACGAGATAAAAAAAAATGTATCCAAAAAATCACTAGTGTTTTTGAAGGTCTGTCTGAAAACAAGAATTCAAGCACTCTTTTTCTTTTCACTGGTTCTTGTGAAATTGCTGTTTAGAAATAAAACTAATGCATGATTGTACCTAAAATTTTAGAAAATAATGTACCTTGTGTAACTGTAGCACAAATTAAACCTCAGCTTTGAGGCTGCTGCAGAATTGTAGTATTAACTATTAATCATACGTAAGGGCTGAAAGAACAACTTCATTTTGAAATGGTTTTACAAATATCGACATTTTCCCTCAGTTCTGAGGTACAGCAGAACCAGGCTTCATAAACCATTTTAGTGTTTTCTGTAATACTTTTCTAATAGCACCAACATTATCTGCAGAATTTAAGGCTCTCCTTGAGGAGCACTAATTCTCTGAATTCATCCTCTCAAAAATATTCCATGCACAAACCAACAAAATGTTGTTTAATAAACTAAGAGGGATAGAAATACTGGGCTAAATCTTTTGATCCAGCAGTGCTTCACTTGGCATATATTTGGTAGGGATTACCATTAATTTACTTAAATCTTATTCTAATTCAGTTCTAGAATATCTGAGAGTAATCTAAAATCACCTAATGGATATTTTAATTTAAAACTGTCATCAGCAGATTCTAAAAGGTTATCCTCATGACAAAAATTTTCTTGAATGTAGCAGTTCTCTGGTTAGAAATCTCTACCTCTAACCTACCTCTCACTTATGGGAAAGCAAAGGACCAACATTAACAATTGTATCCTAGATTACGATTTCTCATGCATGCCAGAGAATTCCAGTTAACAATTTAGGACCTTGGTTTTAAATGTGGAGATATGAATTGCAAAATTAGCAAGAACTACTAATATGCACCAAAAGCCCTAAGACATTAGGCTGTTCCCAAGAATTTCTCTAGCCTATGAAACTAGGAGAGAACTTGTGATAGTGGAGCAAAATCTATTTTCAATTCACAAGAAATACTGGAAACTACAGGAAAAAAAATCCTACCAAAATATTTGATGTGTAAAGTAAGAACTTTTTTTTGCTATAATTTTTTTGTCAGGCCACACTTTCATTTACAGAAACACAGACTAATGGTGAGCACACCCCAGTTCCCTACAGTGGAGTACTACTGGTATGTTTACAATGAATGCTCATACCGTGGGGCGAATCCTTTTTCTTTGTTAACCTGAGGCCGTTTAAGATGAAAAAAAATTCCTTTACAGTTAATGGAGAGTAATAGGCATCTCTAGGAAATAACTCACTCCACCCAAAATCTAAATTACTTTTTGGAGATGTTACTTCCTCCATGAACTACTAAGGAAAATTGACCTAAGTCTCTTAATTTAGGTACCTTAATTTGTAGGGTAAATTTAAGAAGAATATCTAAGCACACAGATTATTGGCAATGAGCCATTTAACTCAAGAAAATCAATGTTAATAACACATTTAAGTTCTTTTAAAGCATGAAGCATACACTTTCAGAAATGACCTCACCTATTTACTCCCTTTTTATCTTCCTTTTAAGAGACTTTTGGACCACATTGCGAATAATGAAACCATTCCATTATTATTACCATAATCTAAAAATTTGTGACCAATCCTTTCATACTTTTCACAATTGGAAAGTAAGACATTGTCTATAGAGAACACTGTGATTTTTTGTTTCCTGGAAAAATATAATTTATCTTTGAAGTGTTTCTTATAATGTAACAAGTCTAGGAAAATACTAAAACTCGTGATTCTGGAATTAAAAAAGACGTATTCTTACTAATTCAAAGTTAAGCCCAGTGAAAGATATCTCTTTTGAGGAAGTATGGATGAATATTTCATTTTATTTATAAACTTATTGATTCATATATAAATTTGTTTGAATAATAAGCATTTTTAGGTATTCCTCAAGGGATAGCAAATACTATCCTAAACCATCAAAACACTCTGAATAGATACATATGTAAGATGGTATGTAAGATTAAGTATTAGCTAAGGTGAAGCCTGTTTTTTTTAATTTTAATTGCTTCAGTAGATTAGTGGAAAACCCTGTATTTTTCATGTAATTGCTTCATAACAGAATCACAATAATGCCTCCTAATAGTTACTGTTCGCTTTTCCTAAACCAAGACACCACATAAACACCAAATACTTAAAATTCTAATTCTTCTGTAGAGCAGTGGGACTTGGCTATCAACTTCCTTGAAAATCAAGGGACATTGTTTTGTAGCAGCTTACCTGGGAATCAGATGTTAGGGAAATTGCTGGCAAGTTGATCCTGGGAAGCTGCTCAGCGGTCAGAGAGCTCTTGGATATAGCAGCACATCACAGAGTCTCCATCAGAGCATATATGCTCTAATGATGCCTGAAATACCCCATACTGGTGGGCTACTGTATTATTTTTCTCTGACGTTTTTTTCTTTATTTTTACTGTTGTTCAACTGGTGTGTCATTCTTTCCTTTGACTCTTCTAAACTCTCCTCTACTTCATGAGAGCTCTTCTCAACTCCAAACTCATTTTAAACCTACCACAGCTACTTTTTCAAGCCTAAAGTACCCTTTTCTGACATTGTGAGAGAAATAACAAGTGCTACAGTTCCAGCACGAAGACTGGAGTTGGTCAATGATGGAGTGTTAACATCTCAACTTTGTGGACAATAGCACATTTTTTTCTAATGATAAAAATATAAGTGATTTTACCTTCAGTTTAAGAAAAAGTAAAACAAGAATCAGTGATTTTAATTACCTGACATCTTTTTCAAGTTGTGCAATATGTTCTTTCTGTAGGCTTATTTGAGATTCTCTCTGTTGCACAGTTTCAATGAGGTATTTGTAAGGCTGTTGTGCTTGGTTCAACAAAGAATTTGCTCTGTCAAGCTGCAAAAAAAAGGGAGAACTACTATAAATTTTTTAACTTATAAAGCACAATTACTTGATTATTACTCAATTATTGTTGGATATTATTGATTTTTACCAATAACATATTAATATAAAATCCAAATCTGTTATTACACACACAAAAAAGGAAACACACCACCTTCAAACTGCTAACTGGTACATTATCTTCTCACTTTTCTGTTCTAATTGTATGCTATTTTCACTGCAATAATGATCCCTAATCTGCATTTTCAAGAGTTTTAATATAGCAGCTTCCATTGATTTAAAAAAATGAGTAGAGTAAATGCCTCTGCTTATGATCTTACCGACTTATTGTGGTCTTTTCCTCCCTCCTTTGAAAAGCTGAAAAGGTTGTAACACAAATACTGCACTTAAGTAGCAGTATTTGAGCCAAGTTTAAACCAAAGCTGACAAAGTAACTAGCATCAGCTTTTTATCCATGTTCTAGACTTCATTTAGATGACTGAACAGTCAGTCAAAAGGATAATAATGGGCTACCTAAGCATGCTATAGTCTACAGGATCGCTGGTTTGTTCTTAAATAAAAAAAAAATCAGATAGATAATAAAAATCAGAAAGATAATAGCTTGGAGTAAAAATTATGTAAAGACAGCAAAGAGAAGTTTTAGAACTTTACAGAAAAAAACCCAAGATTTAACTTTGTACTGGATAGTATTGTAATTTAAACTATACAATTACATGGTAAAAGATGGAAAATTTAATGGTAGGATACAAATGAGCTGAAGATGTTCCTGTGGAAAGTTGCAGGAATTTGAACTAAGGTCACTGATACTGAATCTTTCATCAGTGATCTAGAAGCCAGTATAAAATTACTGTGAGTAATGAATGTATTGAAGTGAAACACAGAAAAATTTAAGATAAAGAATAGTGATATGGAAAAATATCAAGCATAACAATGGATGCACCAACTTCCTAATGTCTTCCAAGTAAGAATCTGAGAGAATATGTTTTAGTTAAATAGAAATTACCATGATATACTAAGAATACATAACAAATTATAGTATTGGTTAAAAAATTCCCAAAGTTCCCTGCTCATGTATCTTTCACTGAAATAATCTATATAATCATCTATATACATATAAAATTTATAAAATTCATGTAATTTAAAAATATGCAGAAATTCAAGTATTTACATTCTGTACTTGGGTGTAGCAATTCCAATTTGTAATTACTGTGGCTTTAAAAATCAAACCGTTAACCACAGTGTATTCCTGAAACAGTAAGCCTACAAATTACATATGGTGGCAACATCTAATAGCAAACCTAGTTGTCCTTTCATTCCTATGAGAAAAATTAAAAGAGAATCTTAAAGATTTTTTTAAAAAATTAGTTTGCCCTAATTCTGGGACATTTCAAGCTGAGGTTTGTTAAATATCTTCAAAAGTGATTTAACAGAACAGCTGTGTAAGAAGTAGCAATGCATTCATTGAACCATTTAGTATCAAACAGAACGAACTAGCTTGGCTGGCTGTTTTTCTATTCAGAAATCAAAACGTTGTCTGTCTGGCTCACATTCTTGTTTAGCCTGTAAAGTAATCCTCCTTTCAATATTAGTTGCAAAACACAATATAAACTTCTTTGAAAACTTCTATCATGGAGTTTTGGTTAATTATGAGGCCATTTTTTAACATCAAATAGATAAAAAAACACTGTTTAGCAAATATTTTATGAACAGCTGTTCTGCAATGTTTCTACATATTTGAATTTTTGTGTAATAATGATTTACCTCTTGTGAAATCTGTGTTACTTGTTCCTTCTGATGTTCCAGATCTTTTACAAGCATCGAGTTTTGCTTTTCTAGCTGCAATAATCTTCTTGCCAAGTGAACACTGTGCCAATAAAAAGCAAGTTCAACTTGATTTTTTTCCAGAATAGGCAAAATAAGCTCTCACATTTATGCTTCAGGACTTGATTGCCTTAATTTTTTACCAATGCTTACATATTTTATATATATATTTTAAATATATACATATATTTTATATATATTAGCATATATAAACTACATAGTTAAACATGCTGCATGGTCAAAGTTAGAAAAACAGTTAAAATATTACAAAATTTAGCAGTATTAAAATACGAGTCCCATAGTCATGCTATTGTAATATTTTATACGAAGTCATTACCTATACAATTTGCCCAATACTATACAACTGTAGAAATACTGTCAAAATCCTTCATCTAATTATGATTATTTACTTTTTAACAACTTTATAGACTCACTTTAATTCTAACTTAAGTAATTATTTTAAAATGCTCATTAATATATGTTTTGCAGTAAAACACTGAAAAATGTAGTATTTTATCACTTTCAAAAGAGAGGCAAAATTGTTTTGTCTGACATTTAATATGTTAAATTGTTATTTCCAATTTTGTTTCAAATAAACTGTTATGTAGTCACAGATTAACTTCGAAGAGAAAGGATTATTTGAGCTACTTAAACAACCTAGTTAAAAAATTAGATCCTCAACCTCTTGCAAGGCTCATTTCCAGAATCAAAGAGTTTATTATCCATTCAAGAGCACAGGTGCATAGGCAGCAATAGGAAGATTCATTATGCACTGCAGAGCCTACCAGCAGACATCTAACCTAGACTTCCAAACTCCTATGAATGACAGAATGGGCAAGGTTGGAAAGGACCACAGTGGTCATCTGGTCCAACCTCATGCATGTTGTGAAGGACTGTATCCAGGTGATTCCTGAGTAACTCCACAACCAGTTCCTGACTACGATACAGAATCTTTGAGAGGGCAAGTGGACTAACGCAGACTGACAGGGAGTGTATATTTACCCTGAAGCTCAGGCTTAAAGAGTGCGTAATCTAGATGAGTGTACAAAGTTTATATGAAAATTTGATCACTCATAACCTCTACCTCTTCCTCAGTAAAATGTAACAGACTTCTAGATTTGGCAGAAGTCTTAATAGTCTTCATCTGTATTATAAACATACTCTTTCAGGCACTAATCTCATCTAGTACAAAAGAGAAAGGAACCACTTTGACTAGTAGCTATCAGAGTGTAAGGGAAAACCTAGATACCTTCCCGTGGTAAATTTAGGAATGCAGCTCACTGTAATTTTCCCAGCTACAGCCATTCAGTGAACTTCGCCTGAATTTGAAAATATTTAAGGATAACACAGGTACATCTTTCAAATATACTTGTCAGCATGTTCTTTGACTAGTTTAAATTGAAAGCAAAGAGACAAAGGGACCAATGTGCAAAAACATCTTATGCTGGAAACATTTGATTCCAACTATACTAGAAAATTATGCAGTGCTCAAGAATGTGATAATTCCTTGTTAGTAAACCACCAAAGCCATCCTGGTAGTGTTCTACACTCTCTCATTAACACTCTCCAAGCAGCTTCTAGGCATAGCTGAGAAGTCAGCATAGGCAAGCAAATTATTGTCAATATGTTGTTCACATGTAGCTTAACCTACACTGAGAATTGTTTTACAGCAATGGGCTACTACACGCCATTTGCTCTTGATACTTCAGAGCATTCCCAGGCATGCTTAATTTAGTACTATGGGTGTACAATGCCTATGTCTGAAATAATGAAAGAGTTGTTTCTGCCAAGTGGGCACAGAAGTATAGACTCCACACTGCTTGAAAAGGTCGGTTTTGTACAAACTTTGAGAGACTGAAGTGCATGATGTGAACTTAAAAGAGTTCTTCATTTAAGATCCCATATGTCTGGGATTAAAGAGCAGGTAATGGACTCCAGAAAGAAGATCATTCACAGTTGTAATAGATTCTCTTTCCTTAAGCAATCCTAGAGAGCAGAAAATTTATCTGTGTTTCTTCAATGGTGCTAAACATAGAGGATAGTGTCAGAGTCTTTGCTTTTAAAATCTCTGGCAGCCAAAGGCATCACAAACATTATCTGCATGGCAATTTTCCTTGAATCAAAACAGCAGGTAAACCATACACAGTATTTTATGGCCTTTTTAGTCTTTTTAATTCTAAAAGAAAAAGAAAGTCTATTAATTCTACAGCACTATTATGAAGGATTAAGTCAGTTTATTAGTCAACTCCTTTTGGAACAAAAGTGGAGTGTATGAGTCATTTCAATAGAGCTGCTTCTAAGTTCAGAAAGTATCTTCCAAGCATATCTGAAATTCTGGATTGATCATCAGATATAGCATTCAAAGGAAATTTAACAGAGTTTTTATATATGTAAATAATCTAAACTGAATCTAATAAGGTGAGGAAAAAGAAGGATCGAAGTGGAAACTTAGAAGGATCCCCAACCTATTGAGAAAAGAGGAAAAAACTGAAGCTTTAGGAAATGGTGCTATAGAAGTCTCAACAGTTTTCTAAATCAGATGTGCAACAGGGTTTTGGAGGTTTTTTGCACACTTCTGACCTTCCAGGGATGGTTAATCCACCACCTTCCTGGGCAGCCTATTCCAATGCTTGACAACCACTTCTGTGAAGAAACTGTACAAACTGAACCTCTCCTGGCAAGCCTGATGTCATTTCCTCTTACCCCTTTGTTAGCTTCATGGGAGAAGTGAGTCACAGCCATAACACACAGGCTCACAATGAGCCATTCAAATGTCACTATTATTTCTTAAAGACAATGCATATTATAAATTTATTAGTTCAAAATGACTATGATCAAGAGGTATGTTTTTCACCTATGCATCATTTTAGTCTATTGATCGTTTTCAAATTGGCCAAACCAGAGCAAACTAGAAGAAGTGCAAATGGAATCACATCCTATATCAATGAAGGTAAAATAGTGATCTGAACCATTATCCTTCTTAATATCCTCTCAGATATGTTTTTATTACTATTAAACACAATGATTTTTAAGGGCATTAATAATGCATATCCTAACTAAACAATGTAGCTAAGCTGTTTTTACAGCTGCTTGGTTTTATACAATTATAATTAATCTTTATGAAAGTCAATGAGCAGAGATTTTGAAACGACCTAGAAAAATATGTATATGCTCATTCATATGCATCAACCATATTAACAGGTCCTAGTCCTCAATCTATTCCTGTATACTTAAATCATTAAAAAACCTCTTTATGTTAATCAAACTGGCTGGATTCTAAGATGTAACAATGCATTTAGTTTCTTTGAACACATAAATTCAAGAGATACTTTCTCTTTACCTTTGCTTTAGTCGTCTTTTGGCTGTTGTAGGAACATTAGCGCCATATCCATATGAGAAGAGAACCCTTTCAGCTTCAACTTCATCTTCCACTGCAAAAAATTGCAGAAAGGTGCTGTTGAAGAACAGTGCCAGAACTTATAAACTTCTAAGCAATTCTATTTACAACTCAACATACAAAAACATTTTTCTAGAAGCAAAATTTTCATTTGGTGCAACCTTCTTAACTTGAGTGGAACAGGTTTTTTCACCATTAGAATTACATTTAGTGACACACTTTAATTGCTTACAACACTTTTTATTTTTACGATTAACATAAGACTTATGCAATATGAAAGTAAAGGAAAATAGTTCAATTGCCTTGAATATTCATACTGTTGGTGTGGTCACAAAACACATACTACTTGTATAAGTTTAATTCAGCAGTAGAAGGTTAGGTTGCTTAAGTTTTTATTCTAAAGAATTAATTTTCTGTGCATATATGAGGAAGTAGAGGAAGATAAAATTAGGAAGTGTTTAGGGTGATGGGAGATAACCAAGTCCATGGGACCAGAAGGGTTAGTGGGAGACATCTGATGTTGCTGAGGTAACGGATGTCACAGTGAGGCTGCTCACTATGGTTTTTGAAAGGATGTGGTGATCAGAAATTTCACCATACTTGATGCAAACAAATGCCATGCATTTCTTCAGAGAAGGGTAAAAAAGAGATTATTATGTATATGCAAAATAGAAATATTAAAAATAATCTCTGCCTCCATAGGTGATAGAGTTCTGAAAATGCATTTCTAAGGGTTTATAACGATTATAATTGCTTTGAAAAGAAATCCCAATAGCAGCAAGATTAAAATATATATGTTCATATTTCAAGTTCTGAAATTCAGGTTTCCTCTCTCCTGTAAGATGAAGTGGGTCAGAAAAAAAAAAAAAAGAAAGAAAAAGAACAAGTGTATGTGTGAAACAGGCAGAGAAAGGGGGACAGAGAGGAGGGGTAAAGGGGGACAATGAGAAAAATGGGAGCGGCAGGGGTGTGAGAGAAGGACAGAGAACAAGTAAACACCAGCCCAGGCACCACACAAAAGCTTTGATGAATCAAACAGTTGGGAACTGGAGAAACAAATATAGGAAATTATGTGAGTCCTATCTGACTCATCATTCTTAATGCCCAAGTGCCTCAAAATCAGAAATACCTTCATTTCTCAACAACTTGCAAAATGAGAAACTTCTGTTCTCACTTGTCTAATACCCTTGTAATGCTATTTTAAACAATGATCCTTAAAACATATTTAGAAAGAGAAAAGCCTCTAGAAGAGCATCTGTGGTAAGTCACATATCTAGTTACATTAAAAACAATATAGAAATTTCAGTAATTATGACAGAAAAAGTTTACTAATGTGGCACTACAAAGACACTAGCACTTCAGAGCTGTCTTAAATATTACAGGCAATTCTTCAGTGCTGTAAACACCTCTGGTTCAGAAAAACATAAAGAATAATTTAACCTGCCACTGTTAATACCGTTCTTTTTGGTTACGTATTCAGTGCTGCATGTCTCAGAAAAACATCAGTAATATCCTGGCCTGTAAATTCAGATCTGTTTGTAGTGTCCAGTAAATGTCACATCATGAAGTCAAACACAAAATTTAAGATGTTGTAGGTACCAAAAAAATATTCTGTATCAGTGTGTACTTCTCTTCTCTTACAACATTCTAGGCCCTTCACCTGACTTTGTGGTGTGAAATATACATTTTACAAGCTAGGGGATACTTATTAATAACAGTTTCCTATGCTACTCAGCAAGGACGTGCTGTTGTAAGGACACAGATAGGTTCAGTCTTTTTCTAAGAAAGATACTAACCAATGGAAACAAGAAAAATCAAACAACTAGTCTACAACAAAAAAATATCCTAATGTGAAGACCATACCCTGAAAAGTAAGAATAGACAAATGTCAAGGAAATTTACTACAGTTAACCTCTTAGTCACTGTAAGAAGTGGCTAGATAAATTCTTGATAGCTTGCTGAATAGGCTGTTTCATGTCATTTCAATATTAATAAAGTGAGGCGTAACGATCAGGGAGTAACAGTAAAAAGTAAAAACTCAGTGATCTCCTCCACATGCATATTTTCCAAAGGAAAAAATAAAAACTTTACATATATATATAAGATTCAACAAAAGCCATCTCACAATAAATACACAGTTTATTAGAAAGTCCAGAAAACCCAACTCACACTGGCATCTCCAAATACTGTAAACAGCAGAGGCCTCATGACTCAGGATGAAGAAAAGCATTATACGCTATTTAAATATAAAGAGGTGACCACAGGAATGAAAATTAATCCTTATTATCACTAAATTGTGTAGAAAACCCTAACTGTCTTCCACACAATGCTTCACTCTAAATTATATTCCCTGATAGACAGACTGAAGTATTTCCATAACACATTCTATTTGAAAAATAGTTGTATTTCCTTTCAGTTATTTTTCTACCTTTAGCTCTTTATGACATATAACTTATATGTTATATAATTTTGAGACACAGGAGGAAGTATATCTGTCTCCTCCTTCAAAGTGGGTTTTTTTGATACTTTTTTCCTTCTGTTTTCCCTAAGATACTAGACATAACTAGTATTAATCTTAACTTTCTATATAAAATACAGTGAAAAAGAAAGTTCATTATTAAGTAGAAATCATACTGAAATATTATTAAGCTATAACTTTCTTTCTCCAAGGAAATCAGAAAATAAAGTCATTATATTTTAAAAGAACAATTCACTTGGAAACTTTCCTTTCTTTAGCATTCTGTAGCATAGAATGTACACTGTAATTAAAATAGATATTTAAGAAGACGTTAAGAATAATCTGGTAAAAAACTTTACTGCTGTCCCAAGATGTGTAAGAAAATGTAAACCAGTGTAAACAAAATCCACTGTTCTTAACCCTACCTTCTCCTTGGAGAAAATGAGGGTGAGGTCCAAAAATTCTGTGTAAATACATAAACACTCCTTAGGCAAGTTTCTATATATACAGACTTCAAAAAACCTGTTACTGACTAAAACAGAAGCATGTATACAGCAAACATGCTTATGGTCAGACTGGAACTGTTGGGTAGTCAGGCCATTCTAAGTACAGGCTGCAGTGCCCAAAATCAATAAAGCATGTGCAAGATACCCTAACATCACTGCATCTTGGTAATGCACACTTTGCTAGACATCACTCTTTATATATAAAGCTTATGCAATAATCTTCTATACAGAATATAAATTCTGACTATTGTTTGAAGGAGTTAAGGAGAAAAGGAGAAGAGGACAGTTAAATTAGTCTGAAATTTTAGAATGTCCTATTCTGTTTACGCACTGGCTAGAAGATTTCAAGATTAGAGTCAGAGTTTCAAATTAGATATTAATTGCTTTATGGATTGATTTAGGCTGAGAACCAAATGAAGAGAGATTTTACACAAATTTTGCTGTGTTTGGGAACATTTTAATTTTTGTGAATGTGAGAAAAAATTTCAAGAGTAATCAGGTATGAATTTAATCCATGGTTTAGTAGTTGGAACAGATTGAGCTGCCACAAGAAACTATTAATGTCTAATTATTATTAATTCAACAGAAGGAAGAGTTTTTTCCTCCTTCCAATTTGTAAAAAAAATTCACATTAATCACTGTACTGAAATATAAAACCTGTATTTGCCTGCAAACAAACAGGGCTTTCTGACATTTAAAATGTACTTAAATAATAGAAGACTCCTAAAGACTGTATCTAATTATAATGGATAATTAGAATAAGGAAAAGAGAAATGACTGAATACTGAGATGATTTTCAATGAGCACAAACTTAGACATATGGATGTTTGATACACATTCACAGGTACACTTAGAAACCTGCCATTACTATTTTCTATCAAAATAATTAGTGCCTTTTACTTGTCAGGCACAATGAAGAATGACAGGCACTGTGGTACTTTCCAAGCGTCACAAGAAAAAAAATATTGTAATGCCAGAAACATCTAGAGATAAAACAACTTGTGACAGAACTTACTTTCTGCTGTCTGCAGTATTATCTCATCAAGCTCTTTTTCAAGTTTTTCATAAGTATCTAGTCTTGCTTGAAACTCAGAATTCTGTGTTTGAAGCTCAATAATGCGGGTTTCACTAGAAGACTGAAGACTATAAAATTCCTTTGTAAGCACCTGTGAGAATGAATAATGGAAAGATCAGGGATTTAGCATTACAGTGATTTTTGAAAGAGGCAAAATATACTACATGTAAAATGTGCACCAGTATGATATTTGATGTAAGTTTTGCACAGCAAAGATTAAAATACTTTAAAAAGCAGTTATTCTTTCAATAATATTATCTTGCACAGATTAAACTCTCAGATCTTAGGCCTATCTGCTGGTGCCTTAGTAATTCTAAGCAGCTGTCTGAAAAAGCTACAAGAATTTTAAAGGAAACTTAGGAAAAGCCAGGTAACAACTAAATTCACACACAGCAGTCAAGACAGTGTAAATGTAATAATTTTTGTTGCTTTAACTGGATTCTGATTTCAGTCATCAGTTTACAAAGATTCCTTTGCAGAACGTAAATATAAAAATTTGCCATTAAAGCTATACCAGTCTTCTTACTTACTTATCAATAAAAGGTAATATGCCACCAACATTCAAGAATTATGTAAATATTTAATCCACTAAACTTAAAGAAAAAAATCTTCATATTCAAAAGTAAAAGCTATGAAGGCTTGTATAATAATTTAAGTTTGATAAAGTGCTTGATAATATGAAACAACATTGACCAAATAAATACACACCAAACTGAGTAAGAAAATCCTTGGTATGAAAAGTAGCAATCTACATACTTTGCAGAAAAAATCCCACCAAAACGTGTAAAGTAATAACAAAAGGGTACTGCTGTTAAATTTCATACTAAGTAAAAATCACATTCAGAATGACAATATAGATTTGGAGATACAGAAATGTATGCACAGTGTGCAGAGCACTAGGGTCACTGTCGAAACCACGAAAAAATGCACAATGCTTAAAGAAACAAACCACTTGAATATGAAAAGTTCAGTCTATTGTCACAGAAGAAATAAATGTGTACGTTAAAACTGGGCAACATATAAAACATCTGTTTCCTAGTTTAGCAGAAGAAACTACTCTATGCCCTAAATAAAAGCAAGAGTCCAGAAAGCTGTAGCTGAGCCACAAGATACCAACGACTACACTATTAATAAAGACTAATGTCCTGTAATGATAAGGAAAAAACCTTAGTACATTAATGCTATATGTAAGAAAAAAATTTAAACCCCCAGGAATTCAGTCAAAAGGAATAAAATTAAAAGCTTCAGACATCAAATATTTAAATTCTGCAAGAATATTTCTTAATGAAAGAGCACTTCAGTGCATATTTCTTATTGAAAGAATTTAAAAGTGTCTCTCTAAAGAGAAAAAGAAGTGCCAAGTGTTAGTAGAATTGAGTGCCAAATATTTGAGTTATTGTCAGATCAAAAACTTTCCACCAAGAAAATGAAAATATAACTCAAATCGAACTACATTCTCCAAGTTTAGACATGTCTGTGCAATTAAAAATCTATTTAGCAACCTCTAAGTTTAGCAAATGTGGCACTCCCAGTGCTTGTGACCACAACTAACCTCATCAGCCAGGATCTGAATGTCCCAATACAGAAAAAACAAGAAATTACAGTCTATCTGAAGCTCTCTAATTCTGTTTCCACTCTATAGTTCCTTTTCATAAACAACTAAGGCAGGTCCGGCACTAGAAATGAGGGGACCTGAAGACTGGCATCCTTCCCCCAAAAAACAAAGGTTGCCATAGATACCACTTTCTTCTGTCCTGTCCAGTTTGTAGCCTGACATTCGTTTGAAACATACACTACCGATCTAATTTAAATTTCATAAATAGGACTCTCTGATATGTTTTTGGGACTAACTTTGGACAGGTGAAGAAATTTTGTTTTCAATTAAGTTTTATCTGTGGAATGCTCACATTTCCAAGATTAAAATAAGTGAACAGGATAGGATATGTATGCTTGAAAGACAATAAATTCTAAGCTTGTAGAGATAAACGGGCCCAAAGTGGTTAAAGCCCACACAAACAAGTGCATTGGCTGCAGGTGCCCAGGCTGTGTCCTTCAGCCAAGGGGGCTGCACCTCAAGGAAACTGTATTTAATAAAACTAAAAATGCTGCATGACAGTGAGGAATGAGGGAAAAAAAGAGAAAGAGTCATGGTGCTGACACTGAGGTGAGAGAAGGAGGGGAGGAGGTGCTCCAGCTGCCTGAGCAGAGATCCCCTCTGCAGCCCATGGAAGGTTGCCCGTTTGCAGACCATGGAAGACCACACCAAAGCACACGTCCACGCTGGAGAGGGTCCCATGCTGGAGCAGGTGGACATCTCCAGAAGGCACTGCAACCTGTGGAGAGCCCAACTAGGAGAATTTCCCCTGAAGGAAGCAGCAGGACATGTAGGATCCACACTGAAGCAGGATAAAAAAGTGTGAGGAGGAAACACCATCAGAGAGGAGCTGTTATGGGCTGACTTGAACCCTAGACTAGAACCCCTATTTCCCATTCCTCCCTGCAGTGTTCTGGAAAGGGGAGGTACAAGTCAAAAATGAAGGAGGGAAATTAAAATAAAAGAGAACAGTGTGGGGAAAGATGTTTTACTTTTTGTCTGTTTCTCACCATCCAACCTACATCAATGGGTATTAGGTGAAATTAGTTTTCCCCAGGTCAAATCTGTTTTGCCCATGATGGTAATTGGCAAGTGATCTCCCTATCTTTATATCAACCCATGCTCTTTATAAGCTTATTTACCTCACCTCCATCCTCTTCAGGAGGAGGAACAAGTGACTGGGTGGGTGTCTAGCACCCCACCAAGGTAACTCATCATGCTAGGACTAGCAAGGTTAGGTCTTTTTCAGTGCTGTATACATCATGCTCACCTTGACTTTTTTAGCTGTAAAAAACGTATTCCAGATTTGTGTATCAATAAAAAGTATTTTATTATGTAACAATGCTATTACAGATTCTTATTGCAAGTAATGATACTGAATTCACTGTACTTGTTTTGGTGAAACTGTCTTCTCTCCCTTCAATTCTCGCACAGACTGACATAAGCAGCTTTGTGACACAAGCAGATAAACATACCCCACATCAATGAGGTAGTCTTTGGCATCTTCTCATGAGAGATTGTTTTTCTTTTTCCTCTCCCTGTGGTCTTGTGTTCCATTAAACTGATCAAACGTACTAAACTTTGTCATTAGACCTTGCTTGTGCAGAATTTGGTGGAGATACTAATTCAGCCATGCCATGTTGTTACTTTTCCCCCAAGCTTTTCCACTTTACATTCTAACTGAAAACAACTATGTAATGCCCTGTAAAGTGTCTCTTTATATAACATACCTCCAGCTTTCTCTGGTATTTTTCACATTCCATTTGGCACTGTGAAAGATTCTTAGCTGTTTCTTGTTGCATGAGTTGAACATGTTCTGTTTCAAAGGACTTTAACTTACTTTGGTGAAGAAGTTCAGCTACTTTGCTTTCTGTGCCAAGCTGCATTTGTCTATACCTAAAAGAAAAATTAAAAAATAAGTTTAGATGATTCAAAAATAAGCAAAATTGGAATATATCCTAGTTCTGTTCATTACAAGTATAAATTTCAAAAATTAATACTGTATTTTGAAGACCTTAATAGGTATTAGTATGGTTATCTATGTAACTATTGTAACCTGTATTTGAAATGTCACTAGGAAAATTTAATATTATAATGACAATAGAACACAGGAGGTAAAAAACTCTGTCAATGGCTTTTCTGAATATGTTGTTAATGCAGAATCAAATGACAATGACCTTACAGTAGACTTTATTTTCCTTAAAGTGTTAGATCAATGTGAATCTCCTTCTTGGTACACAAATGTATGCACTGAAGTCTCTTATTGGAGAGATATTAATGAAATGTTGTTCTCTCTCTTCACCATCATGTGTTTACATGTGATAGGGAGAAGTGGCATTAGACATCAGTGATATCAATGGTGCACTCTTTTGAGATATCATGGGTATCAGCTACAATGCTTTTTTCCATACCCAAAGATATAAAGTCAGACCACACCGGTGTAATAGTTTCCACAGTCACTCAGAATCACAGATCCTTCTCAAGAAGCAGAAATGAAGTATAATTTTAAGAAAATCACTATAATGTAGTTATAAGTGTCAAATAATTTTCCACTTAGAAGTGGACTTCATCTCTTTTATTAATTCATTCTACTTAACAGGCAATCTCAAAAATGAGGTGTAAAAAAGTTTGCTGATGGAATACTACAATATTAGATGGTTGAAAATTTAGGTGATGTGAAGAACAGGAGAAAATCTAATGAATCTTAGCATTAAATAACGTATGAAATTCAAACGAGATATATGCAATGTAAATCACAGGTTTTAAAAATGATCCTGATCATATACATAAAATGATGAACTCCTAGCTGACTGTTTTCATTTGTAAGTGAGATCTTGGGATTTACTATACTTGATAAAACCATTAAAACTTTGGTTCCGTTTTAACTAATGGTCAAAATAAACATTTTGGAAATTACTGTGGAAGAAATAAATAACAAAGAACTCACTGTGTCACTTTGCAATTCCATGTTGTTACCTGCATTACTGAACGCTGACAACCATTCTAGTACCTCACCTCACAAGGAACAGAACTGTCAGACCATCAGAGAAGGGTAGGAAGGGTTACCTCTGACATCCAGTAACACCACGCTATCACACAATTGTACTGTGTGGACTAAATCACTTAAGCAAGCTAGGACTCTACAGATTGGAAAAGAGATGGTATAATGAAAAGCAAAAAATAAGGGGCCTGTCACATAGTAAGAATGGAGAATGGAGAATGGAGAATGGAGAATGGAGAATGGAATCAACTGTATTTTCCAACAGATGAATGAGATGTCATCTAATGATGCCAATGAGAACAAATATAAATCGCTCTTCATGCATGAAAGCTGTGGAACTCCTTACCATAAGATGCTGTGAATGCTAAAAATTAACACTTATTTGAGAAAATACTGAACAATTTGCAGCAGAGAGGTCCTTTGAGAACCATTAAATACAAGATGGTACTTCTCACACTGAAGCCACTTCACAACAAATTGCTGGATTGTCAGATAAGTCTTCACTCTAACCCAGCATGGCTGTTTGTGCTAGCTGTCATCTGTCAAATAATAGTTGCTACACAATTCCACCCTATTTAGCACCTAATCCTTAGGTGGGATAGAGAGTGTTTAACAAAAACAAGGGGATTACTTCAAATATTTTCCCTGAGGATTTCAGATGTAGGAATGTTTTTAAGGTACAAAGAGGGAGCAATTTTCACTGGAATTAATTTGAACAGAACAAACAGGTGTCTTTACAGTGTCCCTGATAATCACGCTGTAGAAGTCCATCTATGCATGAATACGATTGTTTCCTCACTGCATGAGCAGAGCTTGGAAGTTCTGCTTACTGAGCTTACAAAAAACTTTTCTTTTAAAAACAATTTTTTAAAAATAGTATGACATCTGTTCTCAAACAGAGTTACTGCACTCAAGCTGCTAAATGCCAGTTACCTATCAACTACTCCAGTCATTTTTGATTAGGGATGCTTTTCAAGTGCTGATACTTTAATCACTATTTCCTGGCTCTATGTTCCTGTTTTCATTTTACCACACAAAAAATATTTCAGCACTCTTGAATTCTCCACACTTTGCACATGACTGACTGCAGACATGACACTAAATCTGTTCTGGTATACACATTGTTTACAATGTTTTGTTCCAAAATGAGTTATATCTTCATGAAGATACATGTCATTCAGCCAACAATACAATTAAACACACAAATTGAATTATTAGTTATATTTATTGACTCTCAACAACAAATTTGCACCTTCCACCTCAACACAAAACAAACAGCAATGCCTTCCTGTACACAGCTTCAGACCTTCAACCACTCTGAGCTTCAATGATCTGTACTGTACTGAGCTGACACACTAGAAACATGAATGAACAGAGACAATCCATACTTCTCTCTACCTACTTTCTATACTTGGTGGAGAAGTCTGTAGTTCTCTGATGATTCTACTCAATCAACTGGGTGCTTTCAGAGCATGCTTCTCAACCCAATCACGAGCAGCAACTTCAGAAAGAAATTTTATCCTTTGTTTTGGAAATTTGAAGCAGCTTACATGAACGTGATCTGTTTTGCACTGCCAAGGTTATGACAGGCCAGTATTCTTTTAATCTTACTACACTGTTGGTCTCACTAGTAACTCCTTCACCATAGCATCATTCAGAGTTTCTTTGTCATATTTGCTTTTATTCGGCCAGATAGTATCTCTGCTTTCTTGGTTACTATTTCAAGCACAAGTGTGTGTGCATGTATGTACAGTCATGTAACACAATGTGCTGAAATACATTCCTTTATCTGCCTAGATGGTCTCTGAGGGAAAACAAAACAAAACAAAAAAACCCAGAAACACCCTATGCTTTAATACTACTATTATGGAAAAAAACAAACCAGTGGAATGTGGGTCTGCAGGATTTTTCTCCGTTGACAAATTTTAGCAAACTTGATGTAATGAAAGAATAGTCTTAATCTCACAGAAGAATGAGAGTTGGGAATCAAAGAGAAACTACAGCTTGAGCCAATGAAAAAAATCCCACATGTAAGAATCATGTAGAATGAGGTCTCAATTCCTTTATGTCTCTCTGCCATCAGGTTGACCAGCTGATGCCTGAAGTTTGCTAAAGCAGTGACATAATGGTTATCAAAAAATTATTTCTAGAGTAAAGGAGAAGGAATACTCAGACTTGACTCAGACTCAGGGACTTGAACCCTCTTTTGTAATGTTTAAAGATTTTTTTAATCACAGGAGCTTGTTTTTCAAATAGTGGATGATGATATAATAACATGTCAAAATATGCATACCAGAGAGCAAATATAAAGATTTAATGGTAAAATCATGTAGTCTGGACACTGAAGAAAATATGGCAACCAACTGTTTTTTTGAATGGAGGAACTATAAACTGCCCATCTACAGAACCTGAGATGTACAGCACTACTCCTTCAAAAGATAATTAAGCAATGAAGTACACTAGAAGACAATGTATTTGTAAAATTACCCTTTCAAGAAGTGGCAAATCCTAGTATTAAACTTGTTAATAAGAAAAAATGCCAAGCAAGTAAATAAAAATAATATCTCTTACAAAGAAAGTCCTACCAAAATGATACAAAATGAAAATCCATTTTTGTAATTTCATAATTTTGTAAACCAGACTATATCAACCTAAAGCTTTGTGGGATATATTTTAGGAATTATTTTCAAGTTTAAAAATGGAAAAAACACCCCTGTAAGTTGTGAAATCACCCTGAGCCCAAAGTTGGGCCAGTTCCAGATCTAAGATCTTTAAAGCAATTAGAATATACTCTCATATTTGTAGGTCTGTACTTTGGTTCAGTGCCAAATTTGTAGAGAAACCTAAATGCTACATACATTTCCTCCCTAACCTGTCCTCTTGCAAACCTCCCACTTCCAGCCCCAACACGTTCCCTAATGTTCCTGACCTTCTCCCTCTCCATCCCAGCACTGGCCCAGACGTCTCCTGAATTCCATTTTCATTCTTTATTCCCAGGACATCTGTTTTTCGTCTTATCTATGTTCACAGCCTATTAAGCATCCATTCCTACCTTATAGCCCTACTCTCTGCATTCTGGATTTCTCTCTACTTCTATATCACCCTTGTAGTTTGGCATCCTTCCTCAAATCCTACCCATACATACTTCTTGCCATTTGAGCTTTAAATCCCAGTTTAACTTTCTCACCTTCTGCAACTGAGTCTGCCTCCTCACTTCCAAAGAGCCCCACCCTAAGCATAAAAGTACACAAATGAGTTTTCCTTACTCCCCTTTGTGCCAATTTGAGTCACAGGAGGAGTAAGAGTGGTCTAGATAGACCCCAATTAAATTCAGTCTGTTACAGACTGCACTAATCCTGTCCGTACATGCAACAAACTGCCAGACTCCAGTTCAAACATGGGATCTTGTTTCTACTGGTTCTCTTTTTGATTCTTGGTACTAAAAACTGGTTGGCTTTTTTCTGAGCAATCAAAAATATCCCATGATTTGTGTTCACATGCTACTCACTAAATAACTAAAAATGTAAGAACTCAGATCTTTAGTTTTCAAATGCTTTCATTGTTCAGCTTTTGCAGCACTCAGATGAAGTCTGTTTAGTCATGTGTCTGGCTGATTTCACAAAATGAAAGTCTGTTTCAAGATTTACTAGAAAATGGGTAAGAAATCTGTCATTCACTTAAAAATACATGTTTAATGAAGTTTTTATACCAACTTTACAGGCATTTTCAGTTTATTGTAGTATTTATTTACTTCATACATATCTATCAAATACATTAAACTATTTCTAATCTGGTCTAAAATAACAATGCACTTTGTAACAACAAATTTAAATGCTTCCAACAACAAAACAAAAGCTCTAAGTATAATGATTAAACACAAGATGAAGCATGTCAT